ATGTCAATAAAAATAGAGAGGTAGACTATTGTGGTGGAAATGTTTGCAGGGAGCTAGTAGTAGGGGAATGGAGAATAATACAAAGTGGAGGGGAGAGTTAATCAAAACTAATGATGTGTTAAAAGTTAACTGCAGACCAATTATTTTCTACACTAGTTGACAAGTATAATAAGAAGAGTCTGAATGGAAGTACCCTGCATGGGTAGTGCAGCTCCCAGAAGCTATAGGCAATTAAACAAAATCCTAGTTCAGAGTATGTGATAAAACCCTATGAGAAGCCGGGCGGTGGTGGCGCACGCCTTTAATCCCAGCACTCGGGAGGCAGAGCCAGGCGGATCTCTGTGAGTTTGAGGCCAGCCTGGGCTACCAAGTGAGTTCCAGGAAAAGGAGCAAAGCTACACAGAGAAACCCTGTCTCGAAAAACCAAAAAAAAAAAAAAAAAAAAAAAAACCTATGAGAAGCCCACAGGTCTCCATAACAACACACACTATTAGCTTTTCTTTTGATTGCCCACCAGACCAAGCAGTAAGACTCTGCTGTTGAAGACATCATATACTTTGGTTACAGAATATAGAGAAAAGGAGCCAGAATTGAACTGGATATTTTCTTCCTGCTAGCTAACATCATGGTACCAGCATGGTGATGCAAGCTGCCAGGGAAGAAAAATCATCAAGGGTCTTATCCAGCTACAAATCCTGCAAGCTGCTTTACCAACTAGTCAGGAAAGATGTGTCCATTTGTGCAACGGTGGAATGAATACTATGGTAGTAACCAATCACTTTTTGACTTGATGAAATTCCTTTTAATGAAGAAATTCATGCATAATATGTACTGAACATCTGGTCCAAAGCCCATAGCTGGGGAGCCCATTGAACCTAGGACAGAAGCTACACTGACATTGTGATCCACACTATATCAAACTGACTTCTAAATATTAAAGTTTTTAACCTTTACATTATTGCTGCTCTCATCCCTGGTAAGAGAAACTTCTGTTTGCTGTGGGTGATGATGGTTCTGGCAGAGACACATGACTGGTTATAGTGTTTAAAACAAACAGTTGCTGAGTACAGCCCTAAACAGATATCAATATTATGCCCTCCAAGGCTCAGGGGACAGCTTGAAAGATAGGACAAAAATGATCTAAGAACCAGATGATGGGGAGGAGTGCTGTGGAATACAGCTTTCTGAAAGAGATAGGATCTATTAACATTCCATCATAGATGGGGGAGGGGTTCATGAGTCCCCCCACTCCTCCTTGAAAAGCTACTGACAATTATTGGCCCCTGGCGGAGAAAGAGTGATTTTCTTTAGTAGTGTAACCAGAGTTATGTTGCTCATAACTGCCTACCCATGCTCATGCAAGCAACTCTAATTAAACTGAGTGGGATGGACACACACACACACACACACACACACACACACACACACACAACATAGGAGGGAAACATTGGAGGAAGAAAAAAGGTTGCAGTGGAAGAGAGATTCAAGAGTGGTGAGGAAATGTAATGATCAAAATATATTATTTAAATATATGAAATTATTACAAGTCATAGTGAAACAAGCCTTTAACCCCCTCATTCAAGAGACAGAGGTAGGAAAATCTTTGTGAGATTGAGGCCAACCTGGTCTACATAGTGAATTCCAAGGCCAGCCAGACCTATATAATGAGATCTTGTGTTTAAAAAAAGGGAAATACTTAAATAATAATAATAAAATAATAATAATAATAAATAAAAATGATTAAAATAAAAGACCTTTATATAAAACTTGGAAGCAGTTTGAGGAAAACACTTCAGGACACGGCACAAGCAATAATATTCTCAACAGCTCTTCAATAGCTCAGACAACAATAGGAAGAAATGACAGATGTAACTGCATCAAATTAAATGGCTTCTATGAAAATAAGGAAACAATGAAGAGCATGAAAGACAGCCAACAGAAGAGCAAATCAGAAGAAAACCCATTCCCAGATATTCATCCAGGTAATTTACAACCAGAATATACAATGATTTTAGAAATTAACAACAAAATTCAAATTCATAAGTGGGTCAATGTTTAGAATATCTAAAAAAAATAGTACAAATATCCTGTAAATCCATAAAAGAAATTATAATGTAAGTACTCATCAGGGAAATGCAAACCAAAACTACCTATGAAATTCCACCTCACCCCAGTCAGAAAGACTGCCATCAAGGAAACAAGCAATAAATGCTTAGGATATAGGGAGGAAAAAAGAACTCTTTTCAGTGTTGATGGGAATGTAAATTGGCATAATACCTATGGAAATCAGTTTGGAGTTTCCTCAAAAAGCTAAAAATAAGATTGCCACATGATCCGGCTACATTACTCCTCTGCATGCACCTAAAGAAACCAAAGATGGTATACAGCGGAGAAATATCTGCCACCATGGCCATCAAGCGATGATTACATTAGTCAGTTTGTATGTTCAGTCCAAGAGCCCATCATTGTATTTAATGAACAGATAAAATATGTAATATATAAGTGATTGAAATCATTCAGCCTTAAAGAATGTGATTACTTGATTTGCATGCAAAAGTTTGAAAATGGAGTTGCCCTATTAGGGAAATAAACAAGACACAGAATGGCAAGTATTGTATATAGAAATTAGAAGAAAAAAATGACATGAACATAACAGGGGAGAAAAATAGACCTGAGTGAGCAGCAGTGAGTGTAACAGAGGACGTTATGACAAGGGTGAGTGTGATCAGAGTGTGCTATGCACAGGCAGGAAGATGTCACTATCAAATATATTATTTTGTAAAGTTAATATATGCTAATAAAATTCATCTGTTCTACATTTCAGAAGCAATAGATGTGATATTTGTAATTAGAACACATATAGTAGCAGAAAAATTAAATATCTAAGAATAATCAAACTGTGGGCCAGACATTTGTCACATTGACCCATTTACAAGAAGTGACTTTTTATAAATGTGTTCAGAAGATGTGGAGGACTCTGTAACCTGAAAACGTTCTCTTTCTTTTGCTTAGAATAACATCAGATCATTCTATTAAAGTGTTACTTAATATGTAAATATTGCTATGCATGAAGTGTGGCTCAAAATATACAAAGGAATAAACATTTCAAAAAGGAATCCTATAATCAATCATCTACATAGTTACACAACCCAACAGAAATGTTCATATCTACTTGACAAAAGTGCCATATAAAGCTTTTATCAAATTATTAATTTGAATTTACACAAGCTGCAAACAGGCCGCAGGTTTCTAGAAAGAAAACCCACACAGAGATTGTGTCAAATTCATTCATGGGAAGAGTACCGGCCAATGAGAGGAAGAAAGAATAGATCATTACACTGATGGATTTCAAAATCATAAGCTGAATGGAGAAGCCAATTATAATTTTTATTTGCAAAGGGGCAAAGAAGCCAAAGGCGGCATCATTGGCTGAAAAGTAAAGTTGACATAGAACAATCATCTCGCCTTGAAAATTAATGAGAGAATGTCATTTTTTAAAAGGGTGAATATTTAATTCTTACCTGATTAATAACAACAGACATGTTCATCTTGTGATTCTCTCTCCATCATGACATTATTTATGGCCTTTCAAAATATAGTAGACTTTATAAATATTTTAAATAAATTTAAGTATATTTGCATCATTAGATATCATTTCAACCTATCTCAAATCCATCACTGCACACAGAGAAAAGCAATAGAGGAAGAGAATCAAGAAGGGATCACAAAATGAGATGCTAAGACAGAAGGACAGGCAGGCAGACAGAAGGAAAAGACAGAAAGACAGGGAAAAAACACTAACCTGAGAGCCCTGAATCTGCTATCTATCAGCAGTTACCTGCTTGCTCAGGTTTGCCTCGGGTGAATTATTATATGGCAGGAATCCCAACATGATCCTCCTAGTGAGCACCTCAACAAAAGAGAAGTCAGGACCAATAGACACACACACAAACATACACAGACACAGACACACACGCACACATACACACACACACACACACACACACACACACACACACACACACAGATATCTTCTCACTCTAATGTACTTCCACTTACACATCTGTCCTCTAGTCTACACTGATATGAAACATGTTATGCCAGATATCTTCATCCCAATTGCCTTTGAGACACACTGGTGGAGGAGCTGCTGAAGAAACAGATGTTTGGGCCAATCTGAAGTGAGGATTTTGTGTGTAAAAGGACAGAGACCCAACCATTCCATCACTGTGAACATAGCACCATCATGCAGAAACTTTATGAACTAAGGACTGTAGGGGAATATTCTTTTACACTGTGTGAAGAAGTGTCATTGTGATTGGTTTGATAAAGAGCTGAGTGGCCAGTAGCTAGGTAGGAAAAGGTTAAGCCGGACTTCTGGAGACAGAGAAGTCTAAGGAAAAGAAAGGAGGAGTCTCCAGCCAGATGCAGAGGAAGCAGTATATGCAGGAGGAGAGGTAAAAGCCATGAGCCACATGATAGCACATAGATTAACAGAAATGAGTTAATTTAAGTTGTTAAGAGATAGTTAGAAACAAGCCTAAGCTAAGGCTGAACTTTCATAATTAATAATAAATCCTTATGGCTTTTTCGTGAGCTGGTGGCTGAAAGAAAAATCCACCTACAAAGGAGAGACAAAATGTAGACAAACAGATACTCTGACTCCCCCAAGACAGCAAGGGCCACCACATGACCAGCTGATGATCAAGGATACAGTTGATACCAGTAGTGCAATAGCTTTCCCTTTATTGAAAGAGTTCCTAGACGGTATTCTGGAATAAGAATCAGATTAAACTTTCCAATGATGCATAGCATTGAGAAACACTTCCTTATGAACCATAAACTGAATATGGAAAATGATGTAAACAACATCAAGGAAAAGTCCTGCTGATTGGTCCAAACCTTAGAGGCCTGACATATAAAAGGTCCAGAATGCAAGAACTCACCATATTGTGGAAAACTCACCTGTGAACAAGAACCCTCCAACCACAGTTCACACCATGACCAACTCCTGCTGCCCCTCTTGCTGCCAGCCTACCTGCTGCAGGACCACCTGCTGTAAGCCAACTTGTGTTACCAACTGCTGCAGCACACCCTGCTGCCAGCCCAGCTGTTGTGAAACCACCTGCTGCAGGACAACCTTCTGTAAGCCAACCTGTGAGACCAGCTACTGCTGCCAGCCCTGCTGCCAACCCAGCTGCTGCAAATCCATCTGCTGCACGACCAGCTGCTGTAAGCCAACCTGTGTGATCCCCTGCTGCCAACCCAACTGCCAGCCCAGCTGCTGCAAAACCATCTGCTGCAGAAACACCTGCTGTAAGCCAACCTGTGTGTCCAGCTGCTGCTGTACACCCAGCTGCTGTGAAACTACCTGCTGTAAGACCATCTGCTATAAACCAACCTGTGTGACCAGCTGCTGCCAGCCATGCTGCCAACCAAGCTGCTGTGAGTCCAGCTGCTGCCAGCCCAGCTGTTGTGAATCCAGCTGCTGCCAGCCCTGCTGCTCTGAGTCCAGCTGCTGCCAGCCTAGCTGCTGCCCAACCTGCTATGAAACCACCTACTACTAGACCACCTGCTGTGAACCTACTTAGGTGACCAGCAGGTGCTTCCAGCCCTGCAACAGTGAGTCCAGCTGCTGCCAGCCCCACTGCTGAACACCTTTCCAACTGAACAATACCCAATCAACTGTACCTCTGTCACACCAATCTTGCCATGTGGGTATAATCTCACATCTGACTATGAGACTATCACCACTTTGGAAGCCTGTCAGTCACCTTGGTGGAATGCAAGTCCATTCACTCTCTCTCTCCTTTTCTCTCTGTATGGAGCCCAGTCCTCTGCTTCTCTTCTGAGCCCAGATCTTTCTTTCCCTCTAAACAATTGAGAAAAATGCATTAATTAAAATTATCAAAAATGTATGGAAACTTAATAAATTCTGGACTATTATTCATTCCACATTGTCTGTCATTATTACACTTTGATAAATCACTTGGTAGTAGCTCCACATGCTCAAAAGACTTTTTATTGTGCAATATAATAAGCTCTCTCTCTCTCTCTCTCTCTCTCTCTCTCTCTCTCTCTCTCTCTCTCTGTCTAGCACATACACACACACACACACACACACACACACACACACACACACACTGTTGTTAAAACATCTTCCCAGCAGGAAACATAAACAGCATCTACTCCTCCTAAGGTCCCATCAACAAACCAAAGAAGGATTCCACGAAAGTTGACTCTGAGGAGCCAATGAGTTTATCGTGTTTCCTTTCAAAGCACAATTGAGGGACTGCTTACAGGAGTATGGGTGTGCCTCCCTGAAAAGGCTGCACTTTACTTAGCAGAAATTAGGGCTTTTCCCATAGCTGCATGGATGGAGTCCCACCCCTAGTCTTCTATGTCCCCTCCCCAAGACCACCCTCAGTTAGAGCAGAGTGCATACAACTGGTGGTAGGGATTAGCTAGGTACTTATGTGAGGGATTCCTGGACCCCTCACACACATACTTCTCTGTAAGGTATGTAAACAGTAACCAAGCCCAGCTGGGAAGATCTTTTACCAAGGGCCACTGCTGAATGCTCCAAGATGGCAGTTCTTTGGCTCAGAGAACAGTACTGTAAGAGAGAGAGAGAGAGAGAGAGAGAGAGAACCTAATGCCATCCATCAGATCTCTGGAACAATTCGAAGTTAACAGCCAATGGTTACCATCTCCCCATGGCCCTTACCCCATTCCCTGGAAAGAATTGTCCTGCTCTTTTCTTCCCTGACTTCATGGAATGAATGTGGTACTGTTTCTTCCCTTTTTAGTTCATAAAAGAATTGGAAATGTTATCAGATTTATAAAATTTGATTGAATTAAGCAGTGATTATGTTCTAGACATTTCTTGTGAGAAGATCTTTAATTACTGCATCAATCTCATTGTTCATTATGGGTCTGTTCTAGCTTTGGGGAAAATAATTTTTGCAGGATCTCCTAATGATCTGAATTTCTCTGGGGTCCACTGTAACTTCTCCATTTCTTCTCTGATTTTATTCATTTTGACATTCTCATTCTTTCCTTTTGATTAATTAGGCCATAGGTTTGTCCATCTGGTTAAGCTTTTAAAGAATCATCTCTTTGTCGGCTGAATCTAAATATTGTTCTTTTAGACTCTGTCTCATTAATTTCTGCCCTACATTTTATTATTTCTTGCCATCTACTAAGTTTTTGATTAGTTGCTTATTGTTTTTCTAGCATGTTCGGGTGCATCATTAGGTTGTTTGTTTGAGATTTCTTTGGGGTTTTGTGTAACACTTATAGCTATAACTTTATTGAATGCTTAAGCTGTTCCTCAGAGGAGATGTTTTCCTACCCATTGATTTTTATTTGCATCTTAGAAATTTTAATTTCTTCCCTGTTTCTTAAATGACCCACTTGTTTCCTCAAAAGCAATCTCTTCAGTCTCTAAGAATTTGTGTAGTTTTTGTACATGTTCTTACTATTGATTTCTACATTTACTCCACTGCAGCCTGGTAGGATACAAGGAATTGTGTCCTTTTTTTGTACTTGTTAAGGCTTGCTTTGTGGCCTAGGATGTGATAAATTTTGGGAAAGATTCCGTGGGCTGGTGAAAAGAATGAGTATTCTTTATGTGTGTGGTAGAATATTCTGTATATATCTATTAAGTCCAGTTGACATATGGTAGAATTCAACCCTAAAGTTTCTTTGCTGAGGTTCACTTTCATAATCTATGATTTGGGGTACAATATGAGAGTGGGGCACCAAACTCTCCCAATTGCTATTGTACTGGGAACATTTCCTGTAGAGCCTGGACTGAGACAAGGGTCCCCACTATCTCCACACTTGTTCTGTGTTGTGCTTAGTCTTAGTCAGAGCAACAAGACAAGAGACAGATATGAAAGGACAACAACATGAGAGGAGGAAGCAAAACTACGTCTGTTCACAGGTTAATGGTTCTGTAGCTAAAAGGCTTCATGGACTCTGCCAGAAAACTTTTATGTCTAGCAAGCACTTTTAACTTGCAAAATACAAAACCAACATACAAAAATCAGTAGCTTACATAGCAATATTGAACCCACTGTGAAGGAGGTTAGGAAAACCATTCCCTTCACGATAGTTCCCCCCACACAAAGGATATGAAAGACCAGGGCAATGAAGACTAACATGCTGAAAAATAAAATGAAAGGAGATATCAAATGATGCAAAAACCTTCCACACTTCTTCTTGGCAAGTAAATAGTTTGAAAATGACCCTAATGTTAAAAAATTATTTGTAGACTGAACCCTATTCCCACAAAAATTCCAGTACCGTTCTTCACAAAACTCAAAAAAAAGTGAAATACTTTATGTGAAATACAAATGACTACACATATTCAAAGCAATCCTACACAGAACAAAACACTATTAGAGGTTTCAAAATGCATGGCCTCAAAGTATATTACAGAACAAAAGTGCTACAAATCCTCTGTATAGGAATAAAGATAGACGGGTAGACCAATGGTGGAGGATATAGTACTGAGAAACCAATGCACAGAAAGATACACAGCCACCAAACATCATCTTCCCAAATGCATTTGACACATCTGGGACACAGAGGTAGAGCTGGTACCAACATAGATGCCTGACTCATCTGAAGATACATTTTTCTGGATGAATAGACAAGGAGCTACGCATTCAGCTAATTGATATGAGCATAAAGCCATCTCATCTCTATCCATAGCTACTTCCTAATCGAAGTCCAAACTAAGGAAGAAAGCCATGGAAACAAAACTCTCCCAACGCTCTCTTCCCCAAGGAGCAAATACATTCTGCATGAAGTCCAGAACTGTGATGAAGCTGATAGTGTGACTCCCTCCTTTCATCTGAAAAAGTTCCCGGGAGTTGTTCCCAAATAAGAAACAGGTTAAGTCCTTTTAAAAAAGATTCCTATTAAGGAACAGCTTCTTCCTTGATAAACAAACTTTAAATATGGAAAATAATGTAACGAACAAGGAAAACTGTGATTGGTCCAAACTTAGGTGAACTGATGTATAAAAGACCCAACTAAAATGAAGGGATGGTATTCTAGAAAACTCGCCTGTAAACAAAACACCACTCTCCACACCTGAAACCATGACCAACTTCTGCTGCTCCCCTTGCTGCCAGTCCAGCTGATGCAGGACCACCTGCTGTAAGCCACCCTGTGTGACCGTGACCGACCAGCTGCTGCCAGCCCAGCTGCCATGGGTCCAGCTGCTGTGGCCAAATTAACAGCATCTGCAGCTTCTATCAGCCCTGCTGCCAACCAGCTTGCTGTGAAACTACATGTTACAAGACCACCTGCTGCAAACCAACAGATGAGACCAGCTGCTGCCGGTTGCCCTGCCTCCCCAGCTGCTGCATCACATCCTGCTGCCAGCCCAGCTGCTGCAGTGAGCCCTGCTGCCAACCCAGCTGCTGTGTGGCCAGCTGCTGCCAGCCCAGCTGCTGTGTGGCCAGCCCAGGTGCTGTATCTTGCCCAGCTGCTGCAAGCCCTGCTGTCAACCCTGCTGCCAGCCCAGCTGCTGTATGTCCAGCTGCTGCCAGTCCAGCTGCTGTTGATCAATTTCCCCAAGAGACAAATATCCACACAACTTATGTAAACTCTCTTCTTATTTGTGCTAAAAGCCATTAGGCTAAGCCCCAAAATTCTGTTAATTATCAAATTCTTATTCAAACATTAATTTCCTTGAGTAAATACAGAGTTCTTACTTTCACTCTCTTCCTGGTATGTAGAGCTCATGCCATCTTGTGTGAAAGTCTCGCTTCAGCTTAAATTCTGTGCCAAGGTCTTCATCTCTTCCTCTAAGTAACTTAAGAGAGCGTGTTCATTAAAAATATCATACTTTCATGCATCTTTGTAATCATGCTTCATTCTACACTCCTGCGCTACTTTGTTCTTCCTGGTCACTTTGAGCTGTCTCCTAAATCGTACTTAGCCTTCACAAATTCTTAATATATTATGCACCATATCTCATTCCATATTGTCTGTGTTTACTATTCTGTGGTAAAACCATGTGGTACAAGATTTACATGCACAATCAATTTTTAAATGTACAGTATGTTTCACTGTATCACACACAGAGCTCACAACGATGCAAAGCAGGTCTCTTGGAGTTATTTATCTTGCATATTTGAAATGAAATACTCACCGATTATTGACTCACTGTTACAAACCCCTTCTATGAAGCCAGTATCACTCTAATGCCCAAACCAGGTAAAGACACAACAATGACAACAAAAAAGAAATCATCATATCCCTGATGAACATAGACTCAAAAATACTCAATAAAATACTTTCAAGCAGAGTACAGACATACATCAAAAGAGATTATCTACCATGACCAGTTTGGCTTTATCTGTGAGATTCAGGGACAATTCAACACATACACACACACACACACACACACACACACACACACACACACACACGTCACTAAGTGCAATAAACCACATAAGTGAACTTAGAAACACAAACCACAGAATTATCTCAAGAGACATTGAAAAAACCTTTGGCAAAATTCAACATGCCTTCATAATAAAAGTCCTTGAGAAAATAAGAGTAGAGAGAACAAAACATAAAAACCAGTACAGCCATTATGGAAACTGGTATGAAGTTTTTCTAAAAATTAAAGTAAGAATTTCCATGTGACCCATCTATAACCTCCTAGGCATTTGCCCAAAGGACTCTATTTGCCCAGACCTATTTTTGCTTTTCTTTTTAAGATTGCTTGAGAAGCATCCATAAATTTTCCACTAGCTGCTCTACCCTTTCCCATCCCACCACTGTGTAAGGATTCTCAGTTCTCCACGTCCTTGTCAACACCTGTGTCTCTAGTTGTTTTCTGATAATAGATGGACATAGTATTCCAATGTTATAATTGCTGAATAATATTCCAATGATATTCTACCAGTCCGGGCAGAATGTGCCATGTGCCTGGCAAACCTGACAACGGAGGGAAGAAGTCCTTCCCCTGTGTTGGGCTCAGTTTGTGCTCAGCTCTCCTGAAACTGCCTTTTCACTAGTTGGCAGTTCTTCTAAGTATGTCAAATTCCTCTTGTCAAAACAAACCTAAATTTTCTTGATTCTTTTTCTTTTGGTCCTAGGGCACCTCAGTGCACAGTTGTCATGCTGATATTTCTATTTGTTACTAAGCCAACACCCCTCAAACCCTGAGAAAGAGTCCTTTTTGTTAAGTAGAATTCTGTTTCAGACACCATACCTTCTTATGCAGCCATGACAACATCCAGGATCTTGACTGTTCTGGGAAAAACAAGGCATAGAAATGCACCAGGTAAAACAGGTTTCATGCTGAGAGGACACTGGGCTGACCTGCTATTCACCCCCAGACTCATTACCATCTCCTTGTCATGCACTACCCTAGTAAAATCCCTGCCCAACCATATAATCTTGTTCCATCCCGCTTCCAACTCAGACGCAAACCAGCTCTGAAGATTAAAGGGCAGGACTCTCCCATATCCAAGATGGACTCTACCCCCTTCACAAAATCTTGGTGAATAATGTTCCTACTCATAGTATCTTCTCCTTCATCCCTTTGACTTCAAATCCATCGTTCGGGTAAGGTCCTGAGCTGCCAATTATTTCTCCAAAATCCTCCACTCAATAGGATCTAGATTCTGTTGTTGGTTCCATGATACCTGAAGGAGAAAGAACCCAGTTTGGGATCAAAAACCAGCAGCATTTTCATTTGGTCCTTTCTTTTATAATATTTTAGAGCAAGTTAGAACATTACTTGTCACACAAATCTAATTATATTTTTGAGTAACTCAGAGGTTCCTCCACAAGTTTTAAAAGCTAAATATACATCTAAGAATAATAAATTTTAAATGAACAAAAGTAACAAGATAGTAAACTTTTCTTCCAAAGATGCCAGGGGCTCTCACATTTTCTGTGGGTTTTTTTTTTTATCAGATAACACTCTGGCGTGCCTACATGTTCTTTGGTCATTTAATAAGCATGCTTTCTCCTCAGAAAGTTCAGCTGGCACATGTACTGAAGAAAAACTCCTCTGATGATGATTAGGTGACAACTAAAGACACTTCTTCACTTTTATTATCTGGAATAGTTCAATATTACATAAATGGCTATTGTTAGTTCCATACAATTGGCTGACGCTTTGTCTTCTTTGTTCCAAATATAGACAATAGATCAGTAACTTGGCTATAGAGTACGTACAGAGAGAAACCCCACACCAGCTCTGAATCACTGAAGTGTTTTCTACAGGCATGAGAAGTCTTAAGTAAGTAAAAGTGGAGAGGGCTGGAGAGATGGTTCAGTGGTTAGAAGCACTGGCTGTTCTTGTTGAGAACCTAGGTTTGATTTCCAGCCTTCACATGGCAGCTCACAACTGTCTGTAACTCTACTTCCAGGAGATCCAACACCTTCTTCTGGCCTCTTGGGCACCAGGTACACAAGTAACACACAGACATGCATGCACACAAAGCACCCATACACATAAAATAAAATATTTTTTTAATATTTGAAGCTTATTTTATTTATTTCCTTTTTTCTTTTTTTTATATTTTTTCTTTTTTATTTATTTATTTTTTTCTTTATTAAGAAATTTTCTACTCACTCCTCATGTTATCCACAGACCCCCCTCCTCCCTCCTCCCACCCCCCAGCCCTCTTTCCCAAACCACCCCACATGCCCACATCCCCCAAATCGAAGTCTCCCATGGGAAGTCAGCAGAGCCCAGCACACTGAGCCTAGGCAGGTCCAAGCCCCTTTCCCACTGCACCAAGGCTGTGCAAGGTGTCACACCACAGGCACTGGATTCCCAGAAGCCTGCCCATGCACCAGGGACAGATCCCAATCCCCCTGCCTGGGTGCCCCCCAAACAACTGTCTTCCATGTCCAGAGGGCCTAATCCAGTCCCATGGGGGCTCCACAGTCACCAGTCCACAGTTCATGGGTTTCCACTAGTGTAGTCCATCATCTCTGCCGAAGGACAAACATAGCATGTACTCACTCATAAGTAGATTCTAAATGGGAGGGAAGGGATGGCCAGACTGCAACCCACAACTCCAGAGAGGCTAGCTAACAGGAAAAGACCCTAGGAGGGACACATGGATGACCCTGTGAAGGAGAAGTGGATGAGATCTACATGAGTGGACTGGGTGTTGGGGGTGGCAGAGGGCGAGGAGTGGGGGATGAGAACATAGGGAAATGGGAGGGTCAGGCTGGAACAGGGACAGAGTGGGAGGGCAGAGAGGGAGATACCATGATAGATGAGAACATCATGGGAATAGGAAGAGGCAGGGTGCTGGGGAGGCTGTCAGGAATCCACAAGGTTGACCCCACCTTGTCTGTTGGCAGTGGTCCAGAGGGTGCCTGGACCGGTCTACTCTGGTGACCAGCCTATCAAATAAAATAAAATAATTTTTTTAAAGAACATAAATATAAGGAAATAAAGCAAAGCCAAATTGTGTTCTGAGGAGGTGGGGAATCTAGATAAATTCAAGACTGACTCAATTAGATGAGCTAGAGGAAATGCGGTAAAAACAGGAAGAATGGAAATGTATATTTAGGAATATATATGTACAGTCAATATGTCTCCAAATAAGGTATCCATGAGTCAAATCCAGTGTAACATTCACAAATCATAACCAAACCAAATTGATTTCAGTAAGGCAATATTTGTCTAACATTTGAACATGCCTCAGTGTTTAACCATGTTTACTAAAAAAAGATACAATAACCAAATATCTCAAATTTTAAACTAAAAGCATGTTACAAAAGATCAATGCATTTGGAATTGAGTTGGGTTTTTTGTGTGTGGGTGGGGTAGGAGGAGAAGGATCTAATTTCCCAGTAGCATTTGTTAAAGATGCCGTCTTTCCTCCAATGTGAATTTTCGGCATTTTTGTCAAAAATCATGTGTCAAAAAGGAGAGCATGAATTTGAAGAAGAGTAGGGAGGGGTATATTGGAACTTTGAAGCGGGGTATGGAAAGGAGAAATGTTGTGATTGAAATACAATCTGAAAAATCAACAAAAAATATACTCAAGCTCAAAGAACTATTTTTTTTTTTAAATCAGGTGTCAGAAATTTTAGGATCATAGGCTTTTATCTGGGTCCTTAATTCTATCCCACTAATCAATGTGTCTCTTTTGATGCATAATACCAGGGTGTTTTTATTACTATAGTCTGTAGTATAACTTGAAATCAGGACTGGAGATGCTTACAACACTGTTTTTATTGTCCAAGATTGTTTGGGCTATTCAGGGTCTTTTGTGCTCCAATATAAATTTTAGGATTATTTTTTCAATTTGTGTGAAGAATTGTGCTGAAATTTTCATGGGGATTTGCATTGGATCTATGGACTGCTTTTGAGATTGTGATCAGTTTCACAATTTTATTCCTAGCAATCCATGATCGTGAGAGTCCGTTCCATCTCTTAGCATATTTAATTTCTTTCTTTGGTGTTTTATAGTTTTCATTGTATGTTTCTTCTTTATTAGCTTTGGAGGATTGGGAAAGATCATTGTGAAACAATGCCTTGGACATGATGAGACCATGCACTCATGAACTCCCAGGAGCTGTGATTGCCTACCCAAGACCTGCATAAAATCAACCCAGTCATAATTCCATAATATGAGGAGAGGTAAAAAAAAAAAAAAAAAAAAAGCCCTGTCCCTAACTGAGGTGCTTTGATCTCTGAAGACTGTCGGGGTAAGAAATTTAAAGGTTCTTTCAAGATGTTTAAGGGAAATGGCCCACACTCCAGTGGATAGCCCTACACTGACAGTTCTCAACCTATGGGTCATGACCTCTTTGAGGTTGTGTAATAAATATCCTGCATATCAGATACTTACAGTATGATTCAGCAAAATTACAGAACGTAGTAGCAATGAAAATACTTTCATCGTTGGGGGTCACCGCAACATGAGGAACTGTATTAAAGGGTCGCGGCATTAGGAAGGCTGAGAACTACTGCCCTACACCCATGTGCATATGGACAGTACTGATTTGACTCATCACTGGGCCAAAAAGAAGACATGAAGTTTGGAGGGAGACACAGTGAAGGAGTCTGAAAGAGGTTGGGGAGGGAATGGGTGGTAGATCAGAATATAATACATATATGAATTCTAAAACATTGAGTTTTCTGTTTTGTTTTGTTGTTTTTCAAGACAGGGTTTCTCTGTGTAGCCTTGGCTGGTCCTAGAATCAGTTCTGTATACCAGGCCAACCTCAAACTCACAGAGATCCACCTGCTGTTAGCATTGTAAATCAGCACCACATATCACACAGCACACCCTCCACTCAAAGGAGGAGCTCTGCAGAAGAGAAAGAATTAACTCACAAAGCATTCAAACAAAGAGATAGGAAGCATGTCTCAAATCTACCTGCTTAGGGATACAGTCCAGGGATACTGATGTGATAGAGAAACAGAGTGAAGTGTGGCTTGGGCATAGTGGGTAGATGAGAAGTGAACCAACCCACAATTTGTACATATACGAATGAATACCATGGCTTGTCTGGGACACAGGTGAAGAGATAGCCTGTCAGTGTGCTTTCCCACCCTCCAACTTCAAAGAAGTCACCCACTGGAAATGTCCACAGTCTCAATTGAAGTATCAATGGTTTCATTCCCATTGAGTTAGATGAATCTGTCTTCCAGGTTCCTGCAAAACATCTCAGACAACTACTATCATCAGGACCTGCTATTATCACATATCATGGGTGTTTGTCTAGAGCAAAATTGGTGCGCACCTAACAACATGGCTTAGCACAGCCTCCAAAGTTGATGACTTCCAAAATTAAAGTCAGTTAGAAGAGAGTTATTGAAAACAAAAGAGAATTCACAGACATCAGCTCCTTTCCAGGGGATGAGAGGATGTGATTGGTAGACCTTGGAGTTAATTTCTACTTCTCACTCTAGCCGTAGCAACAACAACATGATTGTGTTCACTTCATGATGTTCTCTCGGATTGGAAATTAATTATTATGCTCATTTAAGGTGATTGACAGACCTAAGGAAAAGAGTTAATGTCTCAGTTAAGTCAGGTCCCACGACAACACATTCCTCCCTTGAATAAAAAGAGAAGAGAATGGTTAAACAAAGAATGACACACAGACAGGCAGAACACTAGAGACACTTCTCTACAGGTTAGGACTGTATTTGTCTGGACCCTGGTTCTTTTCAGATCAGCAACAGTTCAAGTCCTGTGTGTTCATCCTAGTACGACCTCAGACCTGGGAAATGACGATAAACCATCACTACATCTGTGAATACTCTCCTCCCTCCAGTGTGTCCGCTGCTTTAGTTCACCTGCTCTGTCTAATTGTGCTCTATTATGAATGTAGTAGCATTGTAGCATTGTGCTGGACATCTTCCCAGATTGCCTTTGGTTTTTTCTAGACAGAATCTCATATAGCCCAACCTGGTCTCAAACTCCCTATGTATCTGAGGATGACCTTGAACTTCTGATCTTCCATTTCCACTTCCCAAGTGATGAGATTATGGGCACGTACCACCAAGCCTGTCTAATGTAGTGTTAGGGATTGAAATCTGGACTTCATACATCCTAAGCAAGCATCCTTCCACCTGAGCTACATCACCAGTCCCTCACCCCCAAATGTCTTTAATGCATCTGGAACACCCAGGTGGAGGAGCTGTTACAGAAAAAAAATGCCTGGATTAACCTGTGGAGTCAGGCTTCTGTGAGTAAACAATGAACTAGTCATTCAGTCCATCTCCAAGCACCACCAAGCCTCTCTCGAGAGTCTCTTCCTAATATAAGTAGAGCCAACGGAGCAAAACTTTGAAAGGACAACTACCCTGAGTCTCCCGGGGTTCCAGGAGTGATTACATGTTCAATTAATGATCAAATCAAGGTGCTGCTGATGGTAGGTTCAGCTTCCTTCTGCCTGTAAAGGTTTCTTATGAGTTGCTCTCAGTTAAGATCCTTGCTTTGAAAAACTTCATAACATTGAGAGAGCAATGTGTTCTTTAATAACATCAAACCGAATGTGAAATATTACAGAAACAAGGAAAGACCTGCTGATTGGTCCAGACTATAAAGACCTGATATATAAAAGGCCTGCACAGAAAGAAGTCATTGTCTTCTGGAAAGCTGACCCGTGAACAGGAGCCCAGCTTCCACATCCAACACCATGACCCAGTCCTGCTGCTCCCCTTGCTGCCAGCCCACCTGCTGCAGGACCACCTGCTGCAGGACCACCTGCTGCAGGACCACCTGCTGGAGACCAAGCTGTGTGAGCAGCTGCTGCCACCCCACTACCAGCCTTGCTGCTGAGGATCTATCTGCTGCCAACCATGCTGCACTCCCAATTGCTGCACACCCTGTTACTGGAGCAACTGCTGCCAACCTCCTGCTGCAGGACCACCTGTTGAGAACCAGCCTGCATGATTATCTGCTGCAGCACACCCTACCACTAGCCCTGCTATTGTGGGTCTAGCTGCTGCTGCTGCTGCTGATGATGATGATGATGATGATGATGACGATGACGACGATGATGATGGTGATGGTGATGATGATGATGATGGTGAGGATATGTTGATGATGATGAATTTCTCAAAGAACTAACATCTGAACAAACTCTTGCTAGCAACTCACTTGTCACACCTATACAAGCCCACTTCTTACCTTTTTGGTAACCACCAGGACATCACCAATAGTGTTCTTTCACTATCTATTCTCTTCTAAGAGCTCTGAGCTACTCTGAGGTAATACAGAGATCTCACTCTTCTTTCCTTAGTGCTTATGGATACACATTTCATAACCCTGTGTCCTTCATAGGGTCATATTCTAAAACTGAGATCTTTGCTTCCCCTAAAGTAATACTGGGACAGTAGTCACTGGTCTTAACGCCTGAGCCATCCCTCCAGACCCTACCACAGTTTTCACCCATTCATTTCCTAATGGACATTTCAGTTGCTCCAGTATCTTGACTGTGGCTATTACTAATGCCATGAGAAATTCAATATTCTGATATCTAGAGTTATGCATTCTAGATATTCATGCCATATCTGATAGATGGTTGGCAAAGGTTTTTCTCATTCTGTAGAGTCTCTCTTTACTCTCCTGATGAACTCCTTTGCTGTGAAGCATTTTCATTTTCTATAATCCCATTTGTCAGTTCTTGGGATTAGTTATTTGCTAGTAGAGTCTTTTCCAGAAACAATAACAAATGTTGTTGAGGATATGGGGAGGGATGAGCATTTATACACCACTGGTAGGAAAGCAAACTGGTCCAGGCACTGTGGAAATCAATATGGGGGTTCCTCTGAAAACTAATATAAGAAGCTAGTTGGGAAAAAGAAGGGGGTTAGCAGGAGTGAGAGAGAAAAAAGAGAGGGTTAACAGTGTGATTAAAACACATTATGCACAATGGAATTTTTTTCATCCAGAAAGAATAAAATTTCCAGGACACCAATAGAACTGGAGATCAATTAAGTGAAATAAGCCAGACTCACAAAGTCAAATGCTGCGTTTTTTCCTCTCATAGATGAAATCTATCATTAAATTTATGTGTGTATATACATGTCTAGGAGGGCACAAAAGTAGAAAGGGGACTGTGTTGGAAGCAGAGATCTCATGGGAAGGAGAGAAGGACAAAGAGATGACATTGGAGTCCACGTGGCCTGAAGCCGGAGAGGAGGCACAGGAAGCCAGCATGAGATGTAGAGGGAGCTAAGGAGAATGGAGAAAGGACAAGTAATAACAAGGCATGGGGATGGTAATCCTCTTCTTGACTGTGATTGCAGAACACGCTTTTCCCCCAAGTTCTCTTCAGTGAGAACTGGTGAGTTTAACTGAAGTTTAAATATGCTAAAAGTAAATTATTCTTCTCTTAATTTGAGTTAAAAGCTAAACACATTTCTTTATTCATGTTTTCTGGTAATACTGTAGAAATCACCAGTACTGGTTTCATAAACTTGTTCTGTAATCTGTTGCTTTTGTTCATAATATAAAGTGAGGCTCAACAATTCTCCTTAAAATTTCTCCCATAGTGTATGTTCCACAGCAGGGCCCATAGGACAGTCTAACATTCTTACTGAAAAGATAACTGCTCTTCCCCAAGCCAAGCTGTGCAACAGAATCAATGGTGCCACACATGGGCATGAGATCCTGCAGAAAAATCAGTGCAGAGGCATGGCAAATCCAAGTAGGGTCATAGGAGGGTGGAGAACCTTGGCGGCCTCAGAACTGACTTCATTAGAGAAGGCAGATGCACTATAGGAAGAACAGGAGGGCTGACTAGTGGAACCCCAGATCAGTGTCCATCCTGAACAGTATTTAAGCATACCAAATTCAGTTCCATGTGCGTATGACCACCACCCTCTTATACTATTACCGGAAATGCAAAGTTGCTCTAATACTTTGGCATTCATCAACGGTTTTCATTGCACTAACTGAAAAAGGTAGAATAATCACAGGTATTTGCATATAAGAGGGTTTTATAATCATCAACATGTTTTCAAGATAGAATAATGTAGCAAATCAGGAAGATAAAAATTATATTATTCCAGTGGAAAAATCTACAGAAAAATAACATATTTAATTTTTGAATATCAGGAAATTCCCCTCATATATTGAGAGTATAAGTATATCCTGCATATCATACAAAAGTGCCTTACAGTATACTAAGGCAATAATAATTTGTAATTAAACAAATTACTGCTAAGTAGATAAAACATCATTTATAGATATGACTATATAAATTACCATTAGATGTGTTGAGATACTATTAATAAGAGAGGAAGGAGAGATAGAAAGGAAGAGAGAGAGAGAGGAGAGAACTGTAGTCCTATACAGCTATAATACCCAGCCCTTGGGAGACTGAGGCAGGAGGATCAGTTGTTCTAGGCCAGTCTGAGCTGCACAGTAAAACAGAGAAGCAGAGGGATGCAAAGTGAGAGAAGAGGAGGGAAGAGAAAGGAGAGGGGGAGAGCAGGAGAGAAGAGGAGGGGAGGAGAGGGGAGGGGAGGAGAGGGGAGAAGAGGAGAGGGGAGGGGAGGAGACGAGAAGGAGAGAGGAGGGGAGGAGAGGGGAGGAGAGAAGGGGAAGGGAGGGAAGAGGGGGAGAGAGGAGGAGAAGAGGGGAGTAGGGAGGAGAGGAGGGGAGAGGGGAAGAGAGGAGGGGAAAGGAAAGAAGAAGGGAAGAGGGGAGCAAGAGAAGAAAGAGGGAAGGAGAGGAGGGGACGGGAAGAGAGGGGGAGGGGAGGAGGGGGAAGGAGAGGGGAGGAGGGGAGAGGAGAGGGGAGGAAAGGAGGGAGCAGTTTGTGATTCACCTGACACATCTGACTCGTGAACAGTCAGAAACTAGAGCAGCTATCATCTCAGTTGGCCCACAGCTTTCCTCATTAGTCCCGGAAAGTCTCACACCCTGCTCAGTATTATGTCCACCTGGGGGCTTCCTGCACCCCACTTCACCCCTTCTCTATGAGGCACACATAGTGCCAAACAGTCTCTGAGTGCCTGTGGCAGGCCTGGGATGTGAAAGGGGGGATAACTGTGAAAGGGGGAATAACAGCTACAGAGACAGGTGCCCGGTAACCTTGAACCAAAGTGGTGCCCGCCCGAACACCCTTGACACCAGGTGTGGAGCCAGCCTTTCACTGTGACAGAGGCGTGATGTCTCTCATCAATGACACTTCCCAAAAGATCAAGCTGTGGAGTGACCACCACCCTGACCTTTCAGATAACCAAATGAGGACCATGGCAGGAAGGATGCTGATGATGTAACCATCTTGCTTTTATCCAAAATTAAAAAAAAAAAAATGTTCCTAGGAACAGATTAAGCTTTTTCAAAAGGTTCATGACATTTGAATTTGAGGAACAACCTCGTCCTTGTCAATGCCCAAAATGAATGTGGAAATTAATGCAAGCAACAACTAAGAAAAGCCCTGCTGATGGGTCCAGACTTTGGAGACCTGACATAAGAAGGCCAGACTTTAAAAAAACAAAAAACAAAAAAAATCACACCCTGGAAAACACCTGTGAAAAGACCCCTCTCCCCACTCTCCACATCATTACTGCTGCCCACCTTGTCAGCCCAGCTGTGGCACCATACCCTGCTGCCCGCCAGCTTGCAGTGGACCTGTCCACAAAACCCTTCTGTCATCCCAGAGCTATGGATTCAACTCCTGGCAGCCCTGCTCCAGGCTTCCCTATGGTCAAACCACTCATGCTGCCTCCCTAGCTGCCCTACCACCCTTCCTGTATGTCCAGATGCTGACAGCCTTCCGGTTTCTGACTCTCCCACTACAGAATCATGTGACAAGCCAAGTTCCTTGGTTTCTGCTGCAAACTCCATTACCACACCTTGGTAGCACCTAGCATGTTGCTGCCATCTTGTGACTCTGCTCAGTAAGATGCAGCCACCTTTGCCCTAATTTCCTCTTCCTTTATCTGCTGTTGACCTCTGGGTAAAGAGTCCCTCCCAGTAATGCCTTGATGTCATCCAGCCTGTTCTGTGGTATCACTTTTGTCTGACATTTACTTTCCAGGACTTACATTTACATTTTCTTTCATAAGTATCATCCGAGCTTGAAAATGATCCCGGCATGGGGAAAGGAGAGAACCTGACTCTTGAAAATCTACATCTTAGCATGTGCACAAGCAGACACGCGCACACATGCACACACACACACACACACACACACACACACACACACACGCACACACACATACACCACAGATTTTTATGTGTGTTGTATTATCCCTTCCAATCTCATAGTTGGCCCACAAAACAGGCAGAGAACAGATGATAATTTCCTGTCATAGTTGGGAAGAGTGACTTATCTAGCCACCGACAGTTATCTAGCTGCATTCAGATGATTGATTTGGGGCACCTTTACTATTCAGATTTTAATGCAAGTAGAAACCAGTCTTGCTCACTGTTGCAAGGAGGCCAATTAGGGTGGTCCATCAACAATGATAATTATGTCTTGCACGTGTAAGACATGTTTAAGAATGTAATATAACTGTGTGATGGATAATTTTGGTTGTCAACTTGACAAACCTGGGGAGAAAGAACCCCAGCTGAGGAATTTCCTCCACCGGATAGAACCGTGGTCATGTCTATGGGTCATTTTCTTGATTGTTAATTTAAGTTGGGAAGCCCAATCTACCATGGGCAGTGCCATCCCCGGACAAGTAGCTGAACATGAACCTGGGAGTCAGCCTAGAAGCAGCACCCTCCACGGTTTCTGCTGCAAACTCCTACCTTGGGTTCCTGCTTTCGTTTCCCTGGGTAACAGACTATAACCAGCAGAGTAAAATAAACCATTT